GCAGAGACGCCGTAGTCTAAGAAGTTGTGAGAAAGGTATGGAGTCTTTGCATGATTTAGGGTGGGAGGATGAGTACAATAGGTAACTATGGCTGTCAGTAGGTTTGTAGTAGGCAGATGTAATCAATACGTTTTCTTTCAAAGTTACGGTGATATCAAGGAAGTTGACAGAATGTCCAGAGATTTGAGAAGTAAATTTTATTGATGGGTGAAATGAGTTTAAAAAATCTATAAATTTCTGGAGATCATTAGTTTCCATGCTTGTGATACCTATGCCGTCATCTATGTATCTCCTATAAAATTCAGGAATATGGCCAGTATATGCCCTCTCTATCATATATTCAAAATGACCCATGAATAGGCAAGCATAGCTAGGGCCCATTTTGGTGCCCATGGCTACACCACTGATTTGGTCAAAGAAATGTCTATTAAATCAAATGAGTTAAGGTCAAGTACCAGTTCAGCCAATCTGATGATAATGTCAGTAGGAATAGAGGAGTGCGGTTTTTTTTCTAGGAAAAATTTCAAGGCCCTAAGGCCGTCAACATGTGGGATTGATGTGTATAAGGAGCAGACATCAAGTAAAACAGTGAGTGTTTTGTGTCAGGGTTGATGTTTAGAGAATTGAATGTCACTAAAGAGTGATTGGTATCTTTAATGTAGGAGGGTAAAGAGGTAACATAGGGTTGAAAGACCTCATCAAGAAATTCTGAAATGTGTTCAGTGGGGCAAGCGCAGGCTGAGACAATAGGTCGTCCCGGGTTGCCCACTTTGTGAATTTTAGGCAGCAAATAGAAAGAAGGTTTGCCAAGGTCACTATTAAAAATGTGTAACGAAGAGGCCGATTTTGGAAGTGCTGATTCGTTAATGAGTTTTTTTATTGTTTGATACACGTTTACGTAACGACATTGTGATCAAACGTGCCGACAAGGGTGGCGCTGTCGTGGTTTCGGACAAAAATTTATATATTAAGGATGTTGATAATCAATTGAGGGATGAAATATTCTATAAGCCCCTCAAGAATAACCCTATTGTTCAACATAATGAAATTGTGTATCAAACAATAATATCTAAGTAAATATAATAAACATCCTATCACTCCAAGGTTCCACTCAAGACTGCCGCACGACTAAAACATACGTCACAATACTGCATAGACACTACGTCACGAATCAGCATAAAAATACGTCATAGAGACAATGGCGGGAAGAGCGTTCACTAACTATAAGAGTCAAGCGCGGGAAAAGCGTTCAACAACTAATGAACATAATATTGAGTCGCAACAATTACTAATGAACGCTCATACTCGACACTTACAACGAGCCAATTAAAATTCAAATAGGAGATTAATTTCTCCCAATACAAGTCAGTGCGTAACAGTATTTTGTAACTCAGACCTGAAATACACTGACCATTTCAGACTCTTGTATTCCATCTAATATGTATCTAACATTTTAGAAAGCTCTCACATATGCACTTATACACATTATCACTAGCACTACTTTTAAAAGTTCTCAATTACAAATAGCATATGAACCAAAAATTAGTATGATTATTTATAATCAATCACAAATACAAATGTCACATGTTCACATTCGTAACACAATTTTAACTTATTCACACATAAAAGTCTCATATGTACACATTGATAACACTACTTTTAATCATTCACAGATGCAAGTCTCAGATGTACGCATTGGTAGCATGTGATTTTTGCTAACAGACCTTGACCTTCACAATATGCACAAACTTTTCTAAATTTAAGTCCATACAATATATAGATGACGATTTAAACTAAAAAACTAGGAATAAGTTTAACGTGTTTTATTTTGTGGAATTTTCACATCATAATTCTGTTGTTGTTGTGTTTTATTTGGGCACATAAAAACAATGTTAGGTCATTGGTATTGTGTTTAATTTGGAAATTTAAAATAATGTGCAGTCATAGGTATTGTAGAGATTTGAGAAGGTGTAACGGAACATAAGTGATCTCGTAACATGATAGGCTACATAACCATTTCAGTCATTGAGCTTAGATTGTCAATTAATGTATAAGAGACGCTCTAGTCATGCGTTATGTCTACAAGTTAAAAAGCGATGAGTTTATTGTTACTGAGGTTTAGGGTTTATAAATAAACATTACGATATAAATAATATTATTTAAAAGAGTTATTTTTCATTCACCCCCCCCCCCTCTTCTTTAATTTGTTTTTGGAAAATCCAACTTCCGAAATGTGCAAATGAGATTACTTTAGTTTTCAACTCAGTTATATTATTTTGTCCTATTTTCATCTGTCCTTTAAGGTGTGAAATGATTTTAGCCAAAATATTCTTGTCTTATTTTCCATTTTCTTAATTTAAGCCTTCAAATACCTTATACTACATCTTCCTCTATTTATTTTTCTATTTTAAAAGAAGTTTTCAAAAGAATAAATGTTTATCAAGGGAAACAATCGATTTGTTTACTTTCATGTGTTTTTCCAATTTCATTAAGTACTTTTTTAAAAACAAATTTAATGTTTATTAGTGAATGATAATTAATTTGATATGTTTTTAAACAACGCTTGTGCAATAAATCCATTAACTTTAATTAAGCTTTATTTTTGAATCTCTTTTTTTATTCAGATAAAATCTTTAGTTTTATTACTCAAAGTTAAATAAAAATAAACTATTTTTTAAAAAAACTTCGCTGACTAGCCTTTGAAGGTTAAGATTTTGTTGTCACGGCGGATGCTATGTTGGGGACATAACTTCAAAATGTTATCCAGATCAAAGTACTTAGCTATTATGCACTGATATTTGACAATAATTCAATGTTTAAATTGATCTTTATGAAACACTAAAGCTATTAAAAAATATTTTTTGAAGATGTCACAAGAAAAACTGTCTGAATGGCTACCAAAAAAGGGTCTTCTATATCAAGAGGACATACCAACTGTTGCACTTTGTAAACCAAAACTTCTCTCCCTCAAATCAGTTTTTTTTAGAGAAGATGGAAAAGATGTTAAAGGATGCCCAAGAACAGATAAAGGAACAAGAAAAACAAGAAAGACTTACCGATGAACTTGGATAAATATTTTGACAACAAAATAAAAAAAAAATTTTTTTTTTTTTTGAAAAAAAAAAACAAAAAAAATTAACAAAAAAATTGAAAAAAAAATTTGAAAAAAAAAAAAAAAAAAAAAAAAAAAAAAAAAAAAGTGCTACTGGTACTATCGTATATTTGAAATCGTTCCTTACTGGTAGGGACGGAACACAAACACATCTCACTACCAATGAATAGGAACAAACAAACAGAGTCATTAAATGTAACTTAGGGATTTGGAAGTATCATTCAGCTATGAATTTCGATGCGCCAAATATATAAGATGAACTACGATTTACCTGTGTTGTTTGCAAACCACTCTGATTTGTGCAGGTGGATTTATATGACTTATATTTAGCTGTAGTTCACTTGACTTCGATGCCTGCTTTTAGGGATATAAAATCAAATTAATAATCAGTTTGGTGTAATTTATATTATGGTAATTCTTATTAGGAATATTTTATTTTACTTACATATATGAACGGGAGAATTATCAAATTTGATCTATGCTTTTATGGATAAACGCTTACATGATATCCCAAGCCTCTCTCATTTCTGTTCTACTTAAATGTATTTGAGAACTGAAATCAGGTTAAGTTTTATTTATATTAACATTGTATTTGCTTTACCTAAAAATGCCTTTCCCGATCTTAAAAACTGCAAACCCGACAATGGCATTATCAAAATCAGTATTGACCGCCTAACTTTCAATTGATAGCAGAGCCAGATCAGAAAGCCTTGACTGCCCTCGGTGTAACATTATATTTTTTCATCAAACTTTGTTTTGAAAAACTTTATCCACTTACACAAAGCCACGCGGACACAGATCGTTAGAAACAATTAAGGCTTAGCGAAAGTATTGGAAGAGATTCTAAAAAGTCTCATTTAACAATAAACTATGAATTTCACACAATAAATACTGGCTAATCCAGAACCTTTTGTCATATTCAGCTCTGACCTTCAAAAAATCCAAAGCTGACCAAGTAACTTCCTCAAATAGATAATTCTTTAAGTATAGATATCAGGTAAAAGACCTTGAGGTGAATGTAAATCTTTCTCAAATGTTAAGAGGCGGTGCCAGGGACGAATACAGGAATTTTTTTTATTTTTTTTTTATTCTGGGTTTCAATATAATTGGTTTCAATATCCTTCTTTGCAATGTGAAGGCACCTTTCCCGAATTAGTAGTACTATAATTTATCTTTGACTTTGCATGAGTGTGGGCGATATTGAAAAGTCTACAAGCAGAAATTGTAAGAATGTAAACTTTGTCAACATTGTCCCTGAAGGAAAGTTAAAGAAGAATCAAGAAAAAATGAAGCCGACCTTTGGATTCTAGTATAGAGCCTTTTTTTTTAACCCGCTACTGCCAAGGAATGACTTAGAGACCTTCTCATTTTAGATTGATGTGTTGTGCATGGGTTCGTGGATGAGTGTATTATTATACCCTGGTGCTAAATGTACTTAAGTCACATCTTTGTCAATATCACTTTAAAATGTTACTTTTGACAAACATGGAAACAATCAATGCATTTTTTTCGAATCCTAATTAGTCCTCTCTCCAAAACGTCCTCACCTTTTTATCCTGGCTCGCAACCGCACATTTTAACTCGATCATCAACTACAATAATATTCTAAGTATTCACCCGATTGTACGCCACATATTTATTTTCTCCAAATGTTTCAGAAAAACAAAAGGAAATATGTTTAACTAAACACAATAGCGATATATATATATATATATATTTAATTTCATTTAGCGGAGTAATCGTTTTTTTTTGTTTAATGTCACACTTTAACAATGGAACCACCTACTTTTTGGGGGTGAATTTAGAGGTAGGGCTAAACATTGTAGAAACTTTTGTCATTTGCCCCAAGTACATGTGCATACTTTTAGGTCAAAGGCTTGATTGACAGTTGGTCAATGAGCCGTCCAAAGATTGTGCTAGTCAACCACGAAAGTAAAAGTATCTTTAAGAATATTGTCGTTTAACCGACACATACGAGGTAATTAAATTATTATTTACAACATTAATCAATAAGCATTGTGATCCCCATTATTAAATTCTAAAAAAAAAAAAAATAAAAAAGCATGTCTTTTTTATAACTGATAAAACTCTTTTACGTGTTTATATTTAGGAAATATAGAATACAGCAGAATGACTAATTATGGGCTTTGTATCCCCAAATGTAGGAATCGAATTGAAGTGAACTACAGCTTTGAAAAATGCATGGTAATCCACTTTTTGAAGAAATGATGGAGTGGAATCTGCATATTAAAAAATATTAGGCTTAATTAATATGTTAATAAAAAATAATGACATAGTATTAATCTAAATAATAAAAATGTTTTAAATAATTGTCTTATGGAAATTTTAAGTTCAAATGTTGAATATCTTTATTATATTTTAAAAAATATCTCTTTACAATGTTATTTTCAAATATCAAACTCAATCTATATAGATCAACAACAACAACAAAAACAACACAAAAAACAACATAAGCGATTGTTTCCCATCTATTTTTTTTTTTTTTATTTTGGAAAAAAACTATTTTAAAAAAAAAATAGTTTCAAACTTTATCTAAAAAAATAATATTCATTGCTATTAATTTTTTTTTTTTCTTTGCAATTCTTGTCAGTTGTGTTGGAATAAAGAAAGACGATTTCATAATGTAGTTGTTTTTTTTTTTTTTTTTAAAGTTTTTAAAAAATTCACTTCTTGTTACGATCATTATGCTAACGATAAAAAAAATGTAACAATTCTTTACTGAATTAATTACAAGTGTTGCCATATTAAAAATGTATTTGTTAACAAGGAATTAGCTTTTTATTGCCAAGTAAACCATCATTACTTCTAACATTTTCATGTTTAAAACATTTGGTGCAATTTACTCAGGTTTATCTTTTGTTACTTTATATGAAATAGTAACAACAATCTAATTTTAAAGTATCTTTGTAAAACTCACTAAAGTTTGCAGATGAGTACACGTAACACTGAAGTAAGTTGTGATCAATTAAACGATTAAATTAGTTCTACTGTGATGTCACTGCACTAAGAAATTATTTATAAGAAGGATAATACAAAACAAAATTAAGCTGGGGTTGGTGTCACCCGGTGCAGTAAACCCGGTGTAGTAACTCATGGTGTCAACATTTCTCCCCCCCCCCCTCTTTATCTCTGACAACCTCAATGGCTTTTTCTTGTTAAAATGTGTCCTCAGATTAAGAGCGTCAAGAAAAACAAATAAACAAATGTATTGAAGTTCAGGAGGTAAATTTATTTAATAACTGTAACAACGTTAAGTTATAGTGATATTTCCATTAAATTTTCTTTATTTAAAATGTTCCATTCCTTGTCTTTAAAGCAGCAAATCTTTCAAACATTAAATAAAAATTAATAGCCTTCAAATTAGCACTTTCATTTGTGAGTAGAGCTAGTTAAAAAAAAAAAGAAAAACATTGACTGTCCCATGATTGCACATAAATAGTTATCATAAGCATTAGTTTAAAAAAAAAAAAACAACTCCCTAAAATAAAGCAATAGACACACAAATCATAAGAAACATTTGA